GGCTCAAAGCCAAGACCCGTAAGGATAAGGTGCTGTGCTCCACTCACTGCCCCGGGAAACTTCCGCTGCATTCTGGGAGATGTGCAAAGGCAGCAGCACGGCATGACAGTCAACTGACACGCGCTTCGGTGGCAGGTTCCCGCGTGCTGGTGAAACCCACGAGCGAGCGCAAGATTTTTCGTTTAGCCTACACTCCGCAAGCCCAGGTCTCTCATCATGCACAATATCCTCAACTTCATTCCCTTAATAATGGAACATGTGATGAAAGAACATGAAACATGAAATGGAAACTACTATCGAAAGGGTTATATACGGATATACAGGGCCCTCGCAGCCTGCTCTTCCGTGCGAACCTCTCTCAGCAATGCGATGCGTGAAGGTTTTCAAAGCAGGTGCTGTCACAAGAAGCAAGACTCACTTTCGTACTTAGCGTCTGGAAATTTCGGAATTGGGCGCCTTCGCTCTCGGAAAAAGCTGGCTACAGGCTGTCAGGTGAAGAAATAGAAATCTGCTCTGCCAGGTGTGGGAAGGCGGCAGTTAACTTCAGCACTGACAACGTGAACAAACTACACAGCTGCACTCATGAAGGGGGCTCACCCAAGATACAGGGCGCTTAGAAGCTGTGAAGGCTAGCTTGCAAAGTTTTGACGCCCTCTGCGAAATCTAAGGCACCCTTCAATTCCAGTGGATGCTGGCTAACCTAAGGCTCTACCTGTAACATCCGGCACCTATGAAATTTCAGTATTTCCACAACTAAACATGTTTTGCTGGGGTAAGAACACCAAAAAAGATCTGCGAACACTTTCCGGGGTTTATCAGGATTATAAAAGATTGACTGCAAGCTTCTGCTGTGTTCTTAAGAATTGGAAGACCTTGGATTTGAACCCGGTCATGGCTCAGCTGCACTGGAAAGGAGGATGTTGGATCTGAGGCAATGTTGCGCAGATATTGACTTGCCTACAACATTTTGAGGGCATCATAATTTCACGAATCATACCACAGGAATCCCAAGATCCCGATGAACATGATTGAAGTCAACGTGCAGCATTAGTTAACAGCAATGCCGCTTCGAAGCCTCACATGAGCTGCAGGGAGGAGTGCGCCTGACTGTTTTCTGCTCCGCACATTGTCGATCTGACATACGTGTGGTGCTGTGTAGCTTATGAATTGGATGTTTTCCTGGGATTATAATACATAGACACTCTAGATGTTTATACCAACTTTCCCTGGGACTATATATACATGGCACAAGGGACATTCTTTTTACTGGGTTGTCGAGCCATATAAAGACTGTTAAAAATGTGTTCTGAAAGGCTAACGTGTTATAAGAGTTATATTGTTGGAGGAATCCGGCCTCTCAAGTCTTTGGGGCCTCCCAGGACTTCTCCCAGGCCTCCCAGGCCTCCCAGGGCTTGCCAGGGGCCTCCCAGAAGTCTCCCCTCACAGAGCTCCGCACTCTTTTAACCTGCAAAGATATCCGGGCCCAGGACCCCTCCAAGGTCCCAGGGCCTTCCGGCATTCTTTGTCGGGATATTTTCTTGAAAACTTGCAGAAAAATATCCCAGGGGCCGCCCCTCCCAGGCCTTCTAAGGGCCTCCCAGGGCCTGCCAGGCGCCTTCCAGGGCCTTCCAGGGGCCTCCCAGGGGCCCAGGCCCTGGGACTCCCATGATCAGCACGATCATTCTTCGGCTGAATACGTGAGTTAGCCCCTCCTATATATACACCTTATAAACCCGAGCTTAGAAAAACCCTATATAAACATAAACCCTACAAACCCTATAAATATAAACCCTGCGATGAACCCTATATAGCCCTATGAGAACATATTTGTGGAACAATCTTTTTATACGACGCGACAATCCTCCAAAAAGAATGTCCCTTATACACACTAGATAACAATAATAATAATAATGATAATAGCAATCGTGGGGTAGCCAAATCGCAACTTGGCAAGTTAAGACACGTGCTATCATCATTCCCACGCTCATTCAGGCAGCCGCTTCCTGCCAGCAGACGCAATTTAAGTTAAGGATTTTCCAATAGTCAGATGCTGCAGGTACACCCCAGAACGGTTTCGTCCAGCCCTTCGAGAACGTGGTTTCAAGGCGCGCTCGATGCTAGCAAACTGCATGCAACTCTGCACTAGGCGCCTTGTACTATTATAATTAATGGGAGACCCCAAACATGAAAGACAGGCAGCTGCAAAATTTGAATGTGCAGTTCGTGACTGATTTTACAGGATGACCAGCATGATTCCTGTAGTTGCCCCTGATGCTCATGATGCAGCACGCGCATTACTTACGCAGATCATTTTGATCAAGTGTACCTGGTAAGCGTTGGTGGGATGGCTGCTCGGGAACTTGTGCGAAGTTTATCTTCCGGCAGCTTGTCGGAAGAATCTAGCGCTTTGTCACGTGGGCCCTGGCTTCGGCACTTGAGGATTCAAAGCACATTCGGGAACGTCTTCGGGATCGGGCGGAGGGCACATTTACCAGATGGCCTTCCAATGAGTGCATAGGCGTGCCTTCTGTGAAGGCCATGTCCCTAAACCATGTGATGTTGGAGATTGTGGCGCTCACTTGGTGCCCGCTGCATTCTGCACCGAAGATGCTTCCCATCGAGCTCTGCCGCCGAGAGGCGCGCTGTAATAGATTCTCAGCCGGTCCCGGTTGAGGGGAGCATTGTACAATTTAATTTGCAGGTAGTGCTGTATGGTGCTGTGGTAGGGCCCTAAACCCGGGATCCCTGCCAGGTCAAGGTCTTGCGCCAGGAGATGGGCCTGCCCACAAACCTGAAGCTTCTTGAGGTTGACGCCTCAGGCATGAAGCGCTTGTTCAGCCATGGGATACGCCGCGTGAAGTCCAGAGCGCAGACATCTGAGCCATGACTGCGATATCGTACCGGTATTGAGTCGTATGGTGATATGACTGAAATGGGGAGAAGCAGGGGGAGGGGGTTGGGGAAGGCGTTTAGGCGTGCATGGGTGTACCGGTATTGACTCGTATGGTGATTGGGGAGGGGTTGGGGGAGGTGTTTAGGTGTGTGGGTGAGGGGATACAGGTAGCATCCATTCCAAGAATGGGGAGATTTGTGTCCAGGGATCCTGTTATGGATCTAAGGAGCCAATTCTTGAGAAGTTCTTTGATCTGCTGGATGTGTATTGGGCTAACGCGGATGAAGAAGCCATTCAGCAAATGCTTGCCATCGAGGATGGCTCGCCTTATGATGGCTATGAATCTGCTGAGGGTGCTGGGCTTCCGGACGGAGAAGGTGAAATCCCGGAGACGCAAGTCATCCCAACCCATAGTGATGAAGAGGAAGAGGATGTCGAAGACGCATTGCCCGAGACACCCCCTGCAAGCCCTACACATGTTTCAGCTGAGTTGGAAAAATCAAGAGAGGATTCCCACGCCACAGCTAGTGTGTTGCCCAAGTGCGGGACTCATGAGCCGAGCCAGGATTCCGGCGCCACAGCTACTGTGTCGCCCAAGCACGGGACTCATGAGCCAAGCGAGGATTCCGACGCCGCAGCTAGTGTGTTGCCCAACCGCGGGACTCATGTTGTCGCTGAGCCGTGTGATGGTGCTAGTGTTGTACCCGCGTGCGATTTGCCCTTCAGAGGTCACCCCATACGTGCCCTGTTACCTCTGCCCGGTCAATGGGAGGAGCTTACGCCCCATCCAGCAGATCCACCAGCGAAGACACATGCGTTTGATGAGGCTGCAGCAAGCAATAAGTTGACACCCGAGGGGCGGGCTAAGCTGCTAGCCCACTTGGCCTCCCGGAAGGAGAAAATCAGGCCATGCATGATTACCGTAACCATTGTAGCGCTGAAACTTTATAAACTCCAAGCTAGACCAGTCTGGGATCTGCAACTGTTTGTTTTGTCTTGGCTTGCGCAGGCAAATGCTTGCCACGCGTACACATGCGCAGCAAGCCGCGCCTCCCACGCAAGGACTACACGGGCACATATAAGCGTTGATCACATGCATGGTAAATTTAGTGAGACACGCATGCTGCACAAACCCTTGAGCAATGACTGCCACGCAGTATAAATTGCATTTGGTTTCACCCAAGCACGCTAGCGTAATTGCATCACGTCAGGACCCAACCCGGATAACGTGGAGACGCAGGGCTATGACGCGGACGCTGCCCATGCCGAGACCGTTGCGGTGCTCAACCGCGGTTACTCCGCTGACAGTGCCCGCGCTGTTGATTTGGATTTGGATGTTGCTGCCAGCAGGGCTGATGTGGAGCTTGGCAAGGCCTCAGCTTTGAAAACCTTGGCTACACCGCCCCCGCCGCAGCCTGAGAAGCTCCAGCCCGAAGCCAAGCCTAGCTTGCCCCTACCCAGCCAAGTTGAGAAGCCCGGGCCCCAGCCTGATCTGGGAAAGGCAAAGTCCGAAGTTGAGAAACCTCACGCCCAGCAAGCGCCCCCTTGTGAGGAGCAGGCTGCCAAGCCCATGAGGCCCCAAGTTGAGAGCCCCAAGCCAAGCGAGCCTGTGAACAAAGAGCTCAGCAATCATGAGAAGAACTTGAGTGACATGGACGTGGACAGTTTCCCCGAAAAGGCAAGCCATTATACCAATGATTGTGCTACCTAGTGCCCATGCATGGACCACGTCCATTATAAATGTGTGTTGAATCAGGTCCACGTGAAACGTACGGACCAGAGGGCCAAGTTCAGCAAGGAAAAGGAAAAGGACTTGGAAATGATGGAGAACATCAACAATGGGGGGCGTGGTCGCGGACGCGGAGGACGCGGACGCGGACGCTCCCCAGCAGTTCCCGAGGGATCCGATGAGGAGCCTGCAGCCCAGTCCCTGGATACCGAGGACGAGGGCAGCCAGTCGGCGGACACCAAGCACTACTCGGAGTCAGAGGCTGAGCCGCCTGCAAAGCGAGGGGGCGTGCCCAAAGCACGTGGCAAGGAGAACATTGTGCAGGGCAATGGGAAGCCTGCCAAGAAGAAGGCAGCAAAGGTCGATGACAAGGAGGAGCCACCGCGGAAGAAGTCCCGGGCCAGCAAGGACGAGCCCGAGTCGGAGAAGAAGGGCTCGAAGGGGCGGAAGACCTTTGCTTCGAGGAGGCCTCCAACTACGGCCGACGCGCTATGCCGCTTCGAGATTCTGCGGGACACCTTCAAAGAGCAGATCTCGATCAACTTCGCCACCCCGAGTGTGTGGGAGGCATGTACGTGATTCACGCGCCCCTTTAGTGTGTGTGTGTGTGTGCAGTGCGGCATGCGCAGCACATAGTGAGCTTGTAATCATTGCAGTTGGACTGGTGGAACTTCGCCTTCCCGAAGCTGACAGAGCGTGGAGTGAGCAGCGAGGCCTACCCTGAGCTTGCCAAGAAGTACGCAACAAAGTTTCTCCGCAAGCATCGAGACTAGGCATGATTAATTATTGACTCATCTCCTGCTCCGTGTGCGCTGCCCCTGCGCATGCACACTTAAGGTGATCACTTGGCAGCTTCGAACGCTGGCGACGATGAGGAGTGAACAGTGTGATGGATGATGCGCAGGGTTGCGGCGTGGGATTGCACACGCGAATAGCAAATTCATGGAGTGTGCTGGGTAGGCAACGGATGCCTGCGTTCGGTAGGCGCGCGCTGTGCCAAGTGTCTGACTAGATAGCCGAATGCATCCAAGAAATATAATGTGGAGGCCACGGCAGCAGTGCGTGTTCGCATCCTTTTCCGTCTACTGTACATGACCACTCCCTATGGGGTGCCTGCTGCTGCCAACAAAATGCTGTGCCAAAGCTGTGTCAAGTTCCTGCCACACCACTTCATGCTGAAACGAAAACATTCCGGCGCAGGTGCTCATCTACTGTGTCTTCTTTCTGGTGATGCCCGTTCGACCGTCGAGCCGATTGCTGTCCAGGGGCCTCCTTCTAGACTATGGTCCACGCGGCGCGTTTACTTGCTGTGCTGGTCAGGGTTCTATTTAGGGTTTAGGGTTTATAGGGTTTAGGGTTCATCGGGTATAGGGTTTAGGGTTTATAGGGTTTAGGGTTTATAAAGGGTATATGATTATGGTACGGGATTGGTTGCGTTTGAACAGCGCTGTGCTTGACAGCGTTGGCGCCCTATAGTCTACAAATTCTTGCGTTGGAGCGGAGCTGGGCATAACAGTGTACTCGGAGGATCATGGAGTATAGAGGTTAATTGTTATAATTCTTACATAGATCTATGTCAGGCAGTTTGGGTTTGTTTAGCCGAAGTTATACCACCAAGTGCATGAGCCTTTAAAGGTTGAATAGTTGTATTTAAAATAGGGGGCTACCCTACTTCCATCAGAATGAGACATTTGCATCTTAAGCTGCGCGCAGCTTCAATTGCTACATGCAGTGCTTGCGCTTGATGGACGTGGCTTTTATATGAGGTGCTGCGTAGGATTTGGCTTGATCTCCCACGCAAGTTGCGCAAACAGCTTTTTCAAAGCACCTACGGTGGATACTAAAATCCAGCATGACCTTACACAAGTATATATATGGGTTATAGCGCTATAGTATAGTAAGGTCATGCAGGAATTTTAGCATCAACTGTAGTATTAGTATACGCCAGTGTATTGCCGCATGCTTCACACGCTCTAGTAGATATTAACTTGACCCTCCAAAACGTAGTGACAGTGATCCATGACGCCCTCTGAGATTGATTTTGTCTTGCTGCGGCTCTGCCGCGTGGGTGCCCCCAAGGATGCTTGGTGAAAGCTGAGCTAGACTTAACTAGATGTGGCCTTTGGCCCTTGTACCCATAGGACCTGGCGCCTGAATCTCTTCATCCCCTCAATCTCGCCCCAGAGCTTTGCTTGACCTGCGCCAGGTGGCATAAGGTAACATGGGGTTCATTATATTATAGGATAAGGGGAGGTTTCGTACAACATGCCAGTTATGCTTACCCATCTTCAGCGTAATCTACCTGAACTAGTACGTAGTCCTGAGTCAAGCTAGATCTTTCCTGGTGGTCCCGCTCCCTCCGTCTCCTACTGTCTAAGGCGTTCCACAAGGTCCCCATTGATTTCATTTCAATTGAACATCTGCAGGGTGCTAAAACTTAATTGGGCTCTCATGCGCATGGGGATCTTCAAATGAACCTGGTTAGTGCTGGGGATGGAGCTGGCTACTCTACCTCCCTCAGAACCCTCCTCGTCACTAGCTTGGGATAGCTACTTTATAGGGGGTTAGCCAATATGTATTGTGTATCAGACCTGGCACTGTTTTTAAGGCTACCTTAGCTAGAAACGTAAGGCGCTTTCTTGTCTGTTTTATTTTGGGATCCTTTATAAGGTTCAGCTTGGCTACATACAGTTTGGAGGGCTTGATCAAGATTGGAAGAATGTTGCTCACCACTGCTCACGTTTCCAAAACTCATCTGAGGATTTCATCTTGCTCCTGCGCTTGATCTCGTATCTTTCCTACTCCTCTGCTTCAGTTGAGTGGGACATAATAGATCTGTTCTCAGGAAAAGCCCGGGTGTCTAAATGGGGGCGTCGAGCAGGACTCAGGTGTGCTTCCTACGACATTGCCTACAACGACCCCAAAAGTACGAAGAGAAGCAAGCATAACAACCAGAAGCGCCGATCGAGCATGGACATCAATGGGGAAGCAGGCTTTGCGCAGCTAGTCTAATTTCTCAAGACTGTTAAGATATGCAAGCTTGAATGAAATTTGCATTTCCCATTCCTATCCGGGACGTATACAGGATCCCCCCCTCTAGGTTCATGGAGAAAATCCTGCACACCCTTGAATTAACAACTACTATATATGCATAGCTAGATACATTAACGTATGTTGTAGATCTTGATATACTCATCTCCTGGTGGTATACTGTCCCCAGGGTCGTGCAGAATTTTGTCTATGCTTTGTAAACCCTATATATAGCTATAGGTTGGCAACACGGCTCGACGCAGATCCCAACAATAATCTTAAGCTCCCACCCAATCGTGAATCGTCGTCCAGCCTGCCCCTCCTTCGTCCCAGGCTCGCTTGCCTCCTCTGCCTTCAAGGCAAGTATGGCCGCCTACTACTGATGCTCGGAACGGTTTGTTCTTCTTGGGTGAGTGTCAATGCCGGGACTTCTGGACGTACGATGGCCACGCCAAGTGGCTGTCTGGAGTACCCTTCAGTGTGCTCCGGAAATCGGATGGTTGCGAGGAAACGTAGCTAAAAGAGTTAACTCTTTGCTTTCTTTAAATTTATGAGGCCTGTTAGAATTCTGTTTGGGGGCGGTTTTGCTCGCGTTAGCGGAGGACATGCCTCTTGAAGCTAGTCATTTTCTGTATGGATAGCACATGGTTGCTCGAACAGCCACGATCGAGTTTGATGCTGAGCTACAAACGTGTCCGACAAGCCCTTAGCATGATGAAGAAAAGGGGTGGCAAGGAACGGGTTGATAAATGATTTCAAGTGGGTACTTTGCATAGCTTGAATAATTCAAATGTGTATGTGTAGATGTTGCATGACTCTTATAAACACAAAATCCCCTCAATACCTTATAATAATCTATGCACGTAGATCAGGCCCAATTAACGTTCTTCAAATATGAAGTATGGGGTAAGCGTGCCCTATCAAACCATGGCTCATGAATCGACCTCAGAACCTGCGCAAGAACATTCAGCCCTTGCACGCTCCCTGGAAGGCTTATGTCATAACGTTCTGGATGCGGAAGTTTGGAAGTCCTAGCTTGAAGAGATCCTTGGCGCTCTCCAACAATTCCATAGTGGGGTCTTTGGATAAAGGCCCTCTGACGAAAGCCGAGAGATCTGGCGCAAAGTCTGCTGCCGTGCAGTACTGGAACCAGAAAGGCCGTAAATGCTACAAAGGAGGGTCCCGCCTCCGGAAGAGCCAGAATCTCTGCTGATCTAAAGGTTCATATTAGACAAGCCGGAAAGTATTTGGCTAGGGTCTCCAGAAAATTATGTACATATGTACATATTAATGTATCTATCTATAATGCAAGTAAATACAAACTGAAAGCACACCACAGTTTTCTACACTTCCTATAAATCAACCAAGCCACTCCCCTGACGGCAATCGACCTGATTGAAATCCCTCCGAAACAGACCCCTCTTACCTGCCCAGGGAGTATCCACACGCCTTTGCTAAAGCCATCGTGAACATGGCCCCGGTGATTCAGCAAGGACACAATGGCCTCCAGGACGCGGTTTATGAATTCGATCATCATATGTATATGTAGGGCTTCTATGCTTATATATTGGATCAGGGTTATATACATATGTATAAATGTACATATATCTTGGGTTTTTGCAGGGCTTATATAGGGTTGACCTTATAAGAGGTTGCTTCACGTCACCTTTTCTAGTGGGCCCGGGTCCTATGCAGGGCTTATAGGGTTATTGTTGCAATCAATGCGAACTCTGGAAGATGCTATTGATTCTAGGGGTCCTCTAGTGTAAAAGGTGCGGCCTGAGTTACTCCCAATGTTTTGGTCCCCCATTCTTTGTACAGCTACAAGGCTGATCCCTTACAGCCCTCAACGACCTTTAACCGCTGCACATGTAAACCCTATATACATTTCCAACCCTTACACACCTGACAGCCCATATGAATATGAGCTTGACATACCATATGTACACGATCCACTATTAAGCCCCTATACTTTCATACTCCCTACAAATGTATATAAATCCTTAGACGCCCCAAGCCCCCAAAACCTCATAAGCCTAAAGAAGCTCCCAAGTATAGACCCTGTCCTTGTATGTATGCAGATAGATCCCTAAAATTAGCCAAATTGAATGAGAGGGCGCTGCCAAATTCACTCATCGTGTCATCGCCCAGAGTACTCCATATGACTTTTCCACTGGGCCAAATTCGCGTCCCATTTCTTGTTTCCGACGGGACCGGCCGCGCCAGGGGTCATGGGTTTGTCATGGTCTCGACTGTGCCGGGGCCGGACTGCCGCGTATGCTTCATAATCGTCCGGCTGTTGTTCAAGTGATCCAGGACCACGGGGCGCTTGCGCCAAGAGTGACTTCGTTGAATGCAGCTGTACTGCATTCAAAGCAGGATGATGATTATATAGGGTCTTCCGTGAGATTGAGGATTTCAGGTCTGCAAAAAGTATCCGGGTTGCACTTACAATTTTGCGTCAGGCGCCTTCAGTGCTTTTATGCCATCCTGTGGCCATGTGAACGGGGAGGGGCTGCGGACCTAACGTGAGGTCCGCTTTTAGGGTTTGTGAGTTTAAGGCTTTTAGGGTTTATATATACATAGGGCGTAGGATTCATGTAGGGGTTTGGGTCTGCAAATAGGCTTACAGTTCCTACCTTCTCAATTGGACGTGTTCTAAGCTTGTTTGGTTGTAGAGCTAGGGAATGAGTATGGGCTTAATATGACCGTCCGTAATTGGTGCTCTAATGTTCCGAGTAAATGCTCTCTTGAAATGCTGTATATTACCCAATATGGGACCTGTATATAGAGTTTCAAAGGATTTCTTCATCCGGGTCCTACTTTAGCCAAGAATGCTCGGGCATGTGCAGGCTCGGGGTTGGGGTGGTCAGTTCTGTTTGGCAAGTCTCGAAGTGATATATAGATAAATGCATGTATTTGTCACCCACCAGTAGAATGCATTAGTAGGTGCATCCCAGAGTTGTGAATCGATTAGATTGTGGCTCTTATTGGCCTGGACTAGTAGGCGCTTAGGTTTACTGGGTTCCCCTCCTCTAGGCTTCCTGAGCTTCTCGCTGGCCTTGCGTACAGAAACTCAATTCAATCCAAGCTCCGTGAAAGTTAGTAGTCTACCAGAGCAGGCCAAACATACCCCAAATTAATAGGTGCACCCCACTATAGCTGTGAACCTATTCGATTGTGGGACCTATTGGCCTGGACTGGCAGACGTATAGGTTTACTGGGTCACCCTCTTCTGGGCTTCCTGAGCTTTAGCTTATATAGTAGTCTACCAGCGCAGGCCAAACATACCCCAAATTAATAGGTGCACCCCACTATCGCTCTGAACCTAGTAGATTGGCTCCTATTGGCCTGGACTGCTAGGCGTCTATGTTTACTGGGTTGGTCAGGGAGTAATCTTGGACTGCTGCCACGGAACCCACCTAAGCTATATATAATATAAGACCTGTTCTGATCATGTCATCCTATATATAGAGAGATTCATAAAACCTGGGAACGATAGCAGGTTTCCTTGGCAGCAGCCCAGAAGACTTTAGAAATTTGGACTAGCTCACACCAAATTGATTTCTTATGAGGGCTCCGGTATGTTTTGGAAAGATGGACGTTCAAGTGTCAGTTACGGCCACGGGCTTAATGCTTCAGGGTGTGTGGGCTGAGAGGTATAATATGGGGCTAGGTATTATAATGTAGGGGGTTGGTCTGGACTGCTGCCAAGGAACCCACTGAAGTTAATGAGGTTATATACTGCATATATTCATATGAAACATATGCGTATGCAGTCATGGGAGCCATAGTTAGGTTCCTTAGCAGCAGCCAAGAAGTACTATATAGGCTTACCCCAACTAATGTTTGCGCAGTCCGGGCCGGGGGGACTCAGCCACAACCCTTCTAAACCCTATAAACCCTAAACTGTATAAACCCCATAAATCGATCCTATATAAACCCTAAACCCCGTTATAAACCCTAAACCTTATATGAGCCCTATAAACCATACATATAAATAGGGTTAACCCTTATAGACCCCAAACCAGCATCTCCGGGTGGAATGGTGCTGAAAATACGAGTCACAAGATCCTTTTCTTATGCCAGCCCATACACATGTCCAAACTACTTCAGCCCCTCTTCACCAAGAACTGAGTCCTTTGCTAGCCAACCAGCATAATGTAAGCTAACCCAGGCAGATGTATCCGCAACACTTCGAAGCACCTTTGCTTCCTTGGAGTGGACGCAGTGGGATGATGCTGCCCTGGCTTCCACAGTTCGCTATGTGAGGGGCAGTACAGACTTGAATATCCCGCCAGAATGGCGAGCACTGCTTGCATGATCCTATAAAGTACAAAGGAAAGTTTGTCAGGGTTTCTGAGGCCATATGGGTTCCCTTTGCAGTCAGAAAGCTTAATTGGGTCTGGTCAACACCATACAACGTAATCTTAGGGGTTCCGGACAAGACTCGGGAAGACGTGTAAAATTGTTCGCCAAGAGCTTTGTGCGGGTTTGGCCGGGGTGCACGAGTTTTGGGCTGCAAAAGTTGACGGCGACCATTGCCGGCCAAAACGCGTTTTTACCCGACCGGCTTTTGGACATGTTTTTTTAGACCCTAGTCGAACCACTGCAGACTCTAGCAGCCCCAAACTCAATTCGACCCAATTCAAGTGCACGTTTGCCAACGTTATTTCCAAGACACCTGCGGGAAGCCACCCTGCAATGCCTATACGTTTATAAGCCTCACACCCTGCTTGCCTTTCTTGGCATTCAACCAAATCAAGAAGTACACAGGATTCCACCAACTTTGGGCTATCAAGCTGGCTATCCGAAGAAAGGGTCCATCTAGCCACAAAGTAAATACTTCGTGCCCCCTAGGAGTATAGGTATGTCGGGACCCCTCTGCGTGCACAGTAGGAGTAACAAACTTATACAAGGACCCTTTGGAAATTAAGGTCGCGTCGGGTTTGCATGGCTAAGCCGGGCTTATGTAGATCCTGCATGGGTTGAAAGCGGGCTTGTATTAGGATTTCTGTGTAGAGGGTTGGATGAATTTCATCCACATTGGCACAATCTTACATGTACAGGGTGCAGAGGTAGCACGTCCCAGTACTCCCAACACCTGCCTCAACCTCAAAGCATGGAACAGCCCAAAACATGATCACCTTGAAGACTAGGGCTATGGGGTCTCTGAGACATTCATATAGGGTTTACAGGGTGTTTATGTATATATATATATATATACATAGAGTATCGGGTTAGGGATTGGGGTGGGGCTTTTATTGAATTGGCAAAAGGGTTCCTAAGTGCGGTTCTATGACTTCCTGGGCCCCTGGACAATGGAGCAACCACCGTTAGTCAGTAAAAACAATGGCGTGAATACCCATCCTTCATGGTCATAAGGCTTATACAGGGTATATAGGGTTCATAAGAATTACAAGGTGTATACAGGGTTTGTTTATGGTTTTAAGGTCCCCAACACACCACGATTCCAGAATGACTGGCCAATCTCCGCTTCAGCTGGCATGCCGGCAGCTAGCTCCATGTATGTGGCTCCGTGTGGTGTCCAAGTCGGTTCACACGAACCACGAATGCCCAAGTGGCCACATCATAGCCTTTCTCGGCGCAATTAGGCTGGATCATCAGACTGCATTGACCATTTGCAAAAGCAGTCAAGGCCAGTTCCGCTTGTGCTCGTCAATAGAGCTGGTGCCAGAAGCAAGACTCCATGGCCAGGGCTTCCACTTTACCAGCTCTCATTCATGTTCAGCACATCCCGCTACAGGGTTTCCCATCCCGTGCATAAACCCTATCTAGCCTATGCAGAGATATCATAGGTGTACCCCTATAAGACCTATATAGTATTCAATCGTATAGATTCTGCTATCACCCATCAAGATTACTTCAATGAACGAGGCCCCTTCACCATCGTCTGCCTTTGGGTTGAGGCATTTGACTGTCTACTTTCCGGGGGATTATAGTTGTAGCATTCTGAAGGGAGAGAATTATTTGGAAGTTTAAT